CCCGCCAGGAGAGCGGGATAGAGTTTCCTCCCCGCGCAGCCTCGGCGGGGGGGGCCGCGCAGGGCGAGGAGGAGGGGGCGCAGGTGGCAGGTGGGAGCCCGGCAGCCGTTCACATTAGCGGGGGGAATCTGAAAACATATATATATATACACGTTTGTATTATATATATATATATATGTATGTATATATTTAAAAAAATGAAACCGCAGCAGGAGAAAACCCAAACCGCTCACATCTGCCAGTTGTTTTCTTAAATCCTGTAGGAATGCGCCAGGCGGCTACTTCACGAAGGAAGGGCCTCGCAGCGCGAGCTGCCTTTGCGCTGCCCCAGCGCCTGCCTCGTGTCGCTGCCCCGCTCCCCTCGCCAGGCAAAGGCCCCCAGAGCATGCAGCACACTGAGACGGCACAGACCCCTTTCCTGTAATCGAATTACTTGGTAGCTCAAACCGGGCTTGCAGGCAAGGAAACACGCATTACACGCGCTCCCGGGTATGTTTTCTCAGAAAGACCCATGCAGGGAATCCTAAAGCCCTGTCCTGGCCCATCAGAAACCGGCCATGGTGCCAGCCGTGCAGGTTGTTCCCTGCACCTTGTGCTGTGGCCAAGCGTTGCCGGCACTGGCGACTCTGCTCAGCACCACAAGTGGGTCCGTCTGCTGACAGGCCCCAATAAACCGCCCAAGAACTGGCTTTAAAGAGTCATGGCTTTTGCGCGTGAACAGATTACGCTGCCGTTCGCAAGCACCGCCGGCCTCTCCTCATTAATCCGCAGCGAGGAATCACGCGCAGCCAGACGTCCATCCCCTCGTGTTGGCGTGATGTCAACCCTCGGCGCCTGTCCTTAGAGAATAAGGGCTGGAGGAAACTCACTGCCGCTTTTGGGAAGTCGGTAGGTCTTTGCTCGTAATGAATCCAGCATCTCTTTGTGGATTCTTTATTTTGTGTTTTTTTATAAGAGCAGAGCTGGAATGGGCAATTTTGACTGTGCATTTTTTCCCCGTATTTCATCACCAATAGGTCTTTCTGTGCTCAAGCAGAAACACAGGAAGGAAGGAAGCGTTGGGATTCCTCCTGCCCGGCGCTGCTGATGTGTCTTGAACAGAGTTCCCTGGAGAGCCGGCAAAGTGCAGGACCTGCTTCTGCTGCTTGCAATGCACACAGCTAAGAGCGGCCAGCCAGGCACTGTCCACCCACTGCCCGTGCACACGCACCAAGCTCTCAGAGAGAGTAAGAGCAAAACATAAATAATAGAGCTTCGCTAGGAGCAAGAGGCGCCCGGCTCTGGCGCTCTGCCGCCGCACCGGCGTCGCTCCGCAAGAATCGCGCTGCTGTTTCTCCCTGCTAAGGGTGGCAAAATCTGCGCTCAGGCCAGAAGTCGTGGAGCGACTGGGTGTTGGAACCAGGACTAGGACCCAGCTCCCCTCGCCCTCCGGCCCGGATCCCAGCCCACTCCTGCTCCGTGCCTGGATGTGTGGAGGGATTTCATCCAAATCCCCTTCGCCTCGGGGAGACTGCGCAGAACAGCACGCGCGTTGTTGCACTGCCATTAGCACCACTGGAAGCGGAGGGTGAAAGATGTGCATTCGAGCACACAATACACTCGCTGTACAAAATTACAGCGAAAGGTTGACACTTAGGGCTGGATTCAATTTTTCAAAATCCATTTGGGAGCCTTGTGTGGGCTCGGGTGGCACGGGAGCCAGGCACAGTCTTTTCATCGAGCCCAGCCCTGGGTCCTTAGGCTACCGCGGCTTTTCCGCTGTGCCTGCCAAGGGCACGCAGCGCGAGGACACCTCGAGGCATCCGCAGCAGCCTGAAGGTTAAAATGTCAAACTTTTCTTCCGCGTGCAGTTCGGCACAGTACGACTACTAGACATTGCCACTCTACTCCATTTGCCGGCGCTTTCGCTCCCTCTTCCTCCAGAGCCATTATGATGTTAATAAGAGTGCCGTAATGATGCCATTCACATTATAACAAGCCTGATGTGATGTCAGTGAAAAGGGCTCTTTATACCCTTCCAGAATGCCTCTGAAAACCCAAACTTAAATATAAAATGCCTGCTGCCATAATGCCGCAGGTCTCGCCAAGATCAATGCAGTGGAGAGAAGAGCCTTAAAGGGACTAGTCCTTTCCTAAGCCCTGGGTTTGTACCCAGGTAATGCTGAGGTTTCAGTGTTCATCATATAACCCTCTTCTGGAGTCTCTTCATAGCATAACGAGATATAACTTAAGGAGAGAATAATGTTTCTGAGCTGAACTATATCATTGTGGCTCGTAATGCTTAAGAAATACAGTTGCCATCACTCTGTCTGCAGCTCCCTTCCTGGTGTGACTCAAAATTTGCCCTCCAGAAACTGCCCTGTGCAAGCCCTGCACGCAGGCACTGCCCAGCAGCGTCCAAAGCAAGACAGGGGCATCCAGAAAGAGGAAGAGGAAAAGATACCACCCAGCATGGTGTATAAAGACATAAAAAAGGCAACAATCTCACACATAAGAAGCGAGTGGAGCCGCACAGTGGAGGCGGAGGTGGAGACGGACAACCAAGGCAGAGCTGTGCCAAGCTGGAGCGTGGAAAAAAAAGGACCCGACTTCATGCAGAAAAATAAAGGAGGAAACGCAGGTGGTGACTGACTCTGTCCACAGCCATGGGCATGGAAGGAGATGAAGGAGATTTTATTTCTGAGTAGATGAAAATGGCCAGAATTTCAGGGCTGAGGAGGTTTCAAGCAGACATGGCAGATATGAGGCCCTTGATTATGGTCTGGCCTGATACAGATGCAGGTACAGAGGCGTTGTGACTGGAGCAGTGGAAAGCTGGGACAACTGAGCCCCAATAAGTGAATGTGAAGAGTCAGGGTGACCCCTGAATTCAAGGCTCAGGTGGCAAGGATAATCACAAGCATTGGGTTAAGTGAAAAACATCTAGAATTGGCTACGCTGAATGCAGACTGAAAGGTGCACTTCCAAGAGACTGGCCTTGGCTTGGGAGCGTGGGCTCTGTATGGTGACTTTAAAACACATATTGTATCAGAAACACGTTTAACACCACTTAACATAAGCATGTTACACGGGTGAAGCGAAAGGGTTAAGACTGGCTGAAATACCTAGACTGGTGGAACAACAGGTCTATGTGCCAACAGGGTCAATTCAGCTCTTCATCCTTCTGAGGTAGATAAACTATGGACCTGCCAAGTCTAGTGTTTTTCCCTGTGTTTCTTGGCCCTCACTTCAGGGAAGTTCAAGCAATCCACTGTTGGGATTTTTTTTTTCTAGGGTTGGACTCACTGTTCAGTGGAAAGGGCATTCACTTGAGATCAGAAACTGGTCTGTGTGTCAAGAAATCGCTGTTCCACAAGAGGGTTTCAAACGTATCTTCACTTCCTTAACTTCTTTGCTAATTTAAGTGATACAAATTCAGATAATCTGGTGTCTCTGCCTCCAGACAGAATTTTAAGCAAGTATTTCTCTCACTTTCTAAATTCCCACATATTATTTTTCTTCTTCTTTTCAGAGTTGAAGTCTTCCCATGAAAATTGTTGAGGGCTAGTTAGTTACACTTAGTAAGGGTTTCCTGATTTTCTTAGCTGGCATTTTTTCAAGGAAAAATGAAAAAAAAGAAAAAAGAAAAAAGAAAATGTACTTTTGAATTCCAGTACAAAATTTTACCACCACCTCTAGCCTGTCAGAAGTGGATTATGTGCTTTGACTCTGTTGCTTTTGATATTTTGGAATTGATTGAGAAATCGACTGCTCCTTTTGCTTCTGTGAGGGAAAGGAATGATACTGATAAAATGATAGAAAAGGTCTCCTTCTCTTGGTCAACCCTTTACAGCTATCAGCATTTTTGGCAATGACCTCAAACAGTGGCTATGATGGCTATAGTTTCCCCCAGAATTTGTGCAAATATTATGGATCTATTTTTTTGCTACAGAGCTCTGGGAGATAGGAGAAAAGGTAACATTTTACTGCCACTCTCTCCTGCTGCTTATCCTGCATGCATCTAGGAGAACAATAAAACCTGTGATATTTATTTCAGTAAATGTACATATTTTTTTTCCAGTGCTCTTGGTCTCTTGTGCGCTGCCTCCACCCTGCCAAGGGCTGCTGACTTCTGCTGTAGCTATAAAGCTCCGTGCAGGCTCCACTACAGCTCAGTGGGAGGTCAGTTTGCAAAAACTTTGGTATCCTGTTGGTAAAAGATGCTCCTTATTACCCCAAACTGGCGGTATTTTTGATTAGTTAACCTGTGCAATGGGTTTTGGCAGTGTGTGCGTGCTGGAGGCTGTTGTTATGGCTGAAATCAGAGAGGAAAAGGGTCGCATCAGTCAGGCTGGGCTGGCAAGGCAGAGCCCTTCGGTAAAGCACAAGGGCGCCAAAATCACGAGGCAGTTCACAGCATTTATTCTTTACAAGAGGCACCAATTAAACCTGCTTCCCTGGCTCCCTCTTCGCCCCAGAGCAGCAGTGCACACATGCCCCTGGCTGCACAAATCGGAGGCTCTATGGGGTTAATGCTGTTGCCTTCTTCACTTTTGCCCGCTGAGGAAAGTAAACAAAACAAACCCAAAATGCGTTGGGGAACAAAGAGCAAGTTGTCTCCCGCTTTCCTGCATGCTCCTTTCCGCGGAGAATAAGAGCTATTATTATTCTTTTACAAGTTTCCTTCTAAGGGAAATAAACACCAAAGGTAGGATTCCAAGGAAATGACTCACAAATATTGGCAACAGGCTCCGAAAATTGGATCCAGCCTTTGCGAGAGCCTGTAGCAGAATACTCACCCCTCTTCTTGCAAAATAAACTTTTCCCATACGGCTTGTACATCAGCCCTGTGTGTGTGTGTGTGTGCGCGAGGAAGCAGAGACAGGAACAGAGCCCGCTTCTCCCATCTCCCCCTCTTCCCTTCGGGGCACCACTTCTGATGCCATTTTTAGCTGCAACGCTGGAAATTGTTAATAACCGCCTGAGTCATCCTCGGGAGGCGGAGGGAGGGGGGTCCCCGCGGGCCCCGCGCCTGGCCGGGCTCTGCCGGGGGCTGTGGAGCGGGAGCTGCCGCCGCGCGTGAGGCCTGGGGGCAGCGCGAGCCGCGCGGGGCCGCGCCGGGCGGGAGGTTTGGTTGGTTTTGACAACGTGAATCTGTTTAGCCAAGAACAGCAGGAACTGCAAACCCTGAAGTGGATTCCTTTGTAGCTTGGTCCTACTTAGACAAGCGTTTTAAGTTAGAGAAGTTGGTTCTTGTGTCCATTTCCTTTGCAAATTCCTATTTCCCCACTCCAAAGATGTAACAAACACAGGTCCTGAGCCAGACTTTTTTATTTTGAAATGTCCCTTTACAGCAAGCCTAAAACTGAGCAGCAGCCAAATACCTACTTAAGACATTAAAGGCTGCATCAGTGAGAGTTTTGTGCCTGATTCAAGGTCTCCAACATTGCCAGGTAGTTTTCTGAAGCCTATAATTCACTAAGTGCCCAACAGACACGTCTTCCAATAGAGCCTCTAAGTAGGAACGATGTTTATATAGACTGAGACATCTGAATTGTGCTCAGTTCCAGCCATCCTTCAACCAGTTATAAGTAACTGCCAGGGCTGGGAAGAGCCCCAGGATAAACAAGTGTGGTGGTGTCTTCCTGAACCCGTTGGCAGCTCGGCAAAGCGAGCTGGGAGGCAGAAGCTCCTCGGACCCCACAGCGTGGCAGAGTTAGGGGGAAAAATTTAATATTAATGCTTGGAGGGCTGGTCATTTTAGTGACAAGAATAAGGGATGGGCTGGGAACTGGCAGTTGCTGCAGGGGAGGAGATGCATTGGAAACACCAAGCCCAAGTGGGAGGGAAACACAAACAAAAGTGGAAAGAAGAAAAGCAAGTCTTCCAGTTCACCTGCTTTCTCAACCTGCAATCCAGCGATTCCAAAAAGAAGAATAAATGCTTTTCTTGCTAGGAATTATTTCATTAAACACATAATGGAAAACATTTAGGGATCCATAAGTCCAAAACCACTGTAATCAGCCAGCCTGCACTGTTTATCAGTCTCCTCCAGGGCTCCTCTTTTTCTGCTTTCTAGATGTCACCCATCACTTGCCAGAGAAGCAACACATGGGTTGCAGCAGACCAGCAAAGATCCAATCCTACAGTAGGATCTTGATTTCTCCTCCTTGCTCTTCTGCAAAAGCGTAACAGAGGGAACTCTCCGTTATCTGTGTGGAGATGCCTGCAGGAAACATCTTCCAATGAGCGATGCTGTCACCCGTCACGTGTGCTGTAAAGATCAGTCACCCGAAGCTCAGCTACGGGACCAAGGCAGTGCAGACCTCCCAGGAGAGAGGGAGGAAAGATGGAAAGATTATGGCACGAGCATCCATTTTTTACATATTATGTAGCTTAATGGCAATGGGCAGCACAGCATATCTGTAATCAGAAGAAAGCTGTAAAAGACACTTCAGGCAGAAAGGAACCAGTCAGCGCTCCTGGGGACATCTTCTCAAAGACAGGCTTTCTCAGGTAGCATCACCAACAATACACTGTCATATAGACCAAGCAGAACTTGGTCTACAAACTTGTTCTTCTGAGACTTGAAACATTCAGATTGACTCTTACGAACATGGCTCTGTCCTTCCGTTTCCCAGTCTCCTTGTCCATGTCCCTGTCTTCAGACTTTGGCATTTCAACAATCTCTAAAAGCAAACAAACAAAACAGGTCAATAAAAGGCTTTATTTGATTTTTTTTTCTTTTCAATTTACAATGCAGACCCACAAGACTAAGTTTTTAAAAAATAAAACACTAAGTTCAGTGACTCTGACCTGTTAATGCAAAGGCTAAGGAAAATGGCAACTCTTAGAGCCAGGGAGAAATAACAAAACAATCATACAGTATAAAATAATTATGCTATGAAAAAAAATCTTGAACAGGCAAAAATGAGGTGATAGTATCAGTAACAGCTGTGGTAGTGAAAGACTTAATATAAGTAGATCACAAACATGCATTTATAAGAAAAGCATTCCTCTGGACAATTTTTCATTGCAAAAACAGTAGTTGATTTTGACAGTCCCTGGATTGACAATAGTCTGCTAATATCTACATTCAATTTTTTAGATGGTGCTACAGAAAGATTTTTTTTATTATTATTATTACTTGAACATCATCATGAAAACTTTTTTTTTTTCTGAACATCATCTGAAAACTTATTTCCAGAAAAGTTATTCTGGGAATTAATTTTCATTTAGAGAAGCATCATTGAGCTGTATGTCCTTACCAGGAGTAGGACTCTTAGCGCTGTGATCCATAGAAATGGTTCTTCCTCTGGAATTAGAAACAGGTCTTTATTAGTACTTCATTTTTCAGAACTACTTTTATTATTGTGAGTAGGGGTTATTTATACAGATAGTGCAATCCAGCTCAGATTTAACACTCCCAGGACCAAGCAGGACCCCAAGCCGCAGTTTGCTGAGCACGGTCCCCAGAGAGGACGGAGATGCGGGTCTGGGGCAGGGGTGCCCGACAGGGATGCCCAAGCTGGAGCAGCCCAGTTCTCGCCAGGAATCTCCCCTTCTCCCAAAGAGAGGCAGCTGGAGGCAGGAAGCGAGCGGATGAGCAAACACGGTGCCCAGCACTGGCGAAGAGATTTGCCACACGCCAGGGCCGTGGCGAGCGCCCATGAAGGGAGACGGCTGCTCCGCGCAGCGCTGGCCTGGGCCGTGGGCAGCATCCCAAGTGCAGGTCCTGGTGCCATGGCAGCTTCTCGAAGGCCCTGGGTGACGCCTGCCTGCTCCAAAGCACCCGTGTAGCCACCCACAGCTGTGCTACCTGCTCCGGCAGCTCTCACAGGACATCCAAGCTGCTGGCGCGGAGGGGACATCCAGGCTAAGGCCCGCGAAGCCCAGGGTGGCAGTTTTCTACCCGACACAGGTACCAACTGGGACACGTAAGCAGATGTAGAGATGTAGAAAGCTACAGGGAATCTTTGATATATTTCTTTTTATCTTCACTTTATCTACAATAGTAATGATAGCCCAGCGCCCACTCCCATTTCCATTTCCATGTCCAGCAGCAATGCCAAAAGGTCCTGCAAATCCAGCCCCCTCAGGCTTGTGCTCTGAAGCTGAACAGTGACTTCATTGCTAAAAGGAGGAGTTTTCCAGCCTCGCTCTCAGTTCAGCCATCAAGCCATCGAGCAAAAGTGAATAACCGTTGGCTTCAATTCTGTTGTTCTGTTGGTTCATTGCTGTCATTGCAATGAAATTGCAATATGACCTCTAAAATATTAACGTTTGGATTTCACGTTACCTTGCTGGCGTGCAGTTTTTATCCATAGCTTACCTGTTGTCCCAGGATTAAAGACTTCCTCCCTTCCCACACGCTCAGCCCGCTCCCGACCTCCATCCCGCTCCGTTACCCGCGCCCCGTGCTTTTCCCGGCGGGAGAACATCACTTCCCTCTCCCTGCTTACGGGGCCGCCTTGTGCCAGCCCAGCTCCCCCGAGGGAGCTGCCCAGAGCCACCTGGCTCCAGCACAAGGGGCTCCCCAACCTGAGGAGAGCGGCAGAGCGCGGTGCCAACCAGCCCAAAGACAAAACCAAAGTGCTCCAAGGGGCACCAGCCCAGCTCAGACACAGCCAGGGAGAGGGCACCAAGTTTCTGTCACGGGCTGGGAGAAGTTTTGTGCAAGGTTACTGGAAGATTACACAGAAGGGGAAGGGTGATTTGCTGCGGCTAATCTGCTCCAGCAATTCATTACTGTGAGCAAGGGAAATGTACCCCAGTTGTATTTAGTATTAGTGCTTCTCAATCTCCAAAGGATATATCATCTTTAGAAAGAAATCCCAACAGCTGAAAATCTGGATGTTGAGAAATATGCCATTAAATTACAAAGTAAATTATGCAAGCCTCTTGTGTGCGGTTCTGCTCTCAAAAAGCATTAGCAGCTTTTTCAGCTCTACACCAACAAGAGAGCAATTTCTCTACTTACAGACGCACAGTGAATAAGATATAAAAAGGTCCTCAAGTAAAATAGCTAGCTGGCATTTTCTGATAGGAGAGGCACAGAAGGAGTTAAAAACAGCACAGCATAGCCAGCAATTGAGAAGTAAATTAGTATGAGAAATTAAGCTGGGAGGCAGCCTCTGTCACACCAAGTTAGGTTGCAGACACCCCAAAAGCAAAATTAATCCAGGAAAGAAGGATAAATATCCCTTAATAATCCAAGCCAAATACAAAAACAAGAATATTTTTAGCTGGATACCAAATTCATGCCATCTTGAGGGAATTACCTGCTTGCTCAGGTTCTGCTCTCTGTCCCTACATGTGCAGACCAGAAGGGAAAGCATTAAGGAACAGAAGAAGCCAGGGCACCGAACTGAAGTTTCTTATTCACTCTAAACTGTATACATTTTCAAGTATAGTTGATTTTCACTCCTCCAGATCTGATGCTGGTATCACGAAACATATATTAATTTTCCAAATATACTTGCACAATTAAATTAATTACTTTAATAAAAGCCCAAAGTTAAATTTATAAACCTGAATGCAGGTTTTGGAATTGGTGTTCATTCTCAGAGTCACCACACTCTGCAGTAGGGTATGGACTAGCACAAATCTAATTTACCTGATACTACTCTAGCATTTCTTAAGACAGGTCTTGAGTGCTTTTATGACGCTTGGTATATCAGGTCTTTCATGTCTATGTGCTAGGAATTATACATCAACTACCAAGTTAAAAATAAATGTATAGTTTAAAGCAACACAAACCAAACAGCCTTTCATCCCTACTGCTTTACCAAGTATTAAGCTTAAGTAGTTTTACAAAATCTAAACTGAGGATAATTTGCTTTCGTCTCTTTACTTGTTTAAGCCACTGAAGGCAGCCAAGTCACTTAGCTCTGGTTTCTGCCCAGTGCTCTTTCAGGTGCAAAGTAGCATATAATGAGTACATGCGCTTTGAAATCCATAATGAAAGACTTAAGCACTCATATAAAGCTGGGTTTAGACATATTTAGTCTCTGAAGCAAATAAGTTATCATACATCTTAGTGACTGTTGCTCTTAAGGGGACTTTTATTTCAATGACTAAAACACCACAAACTAAAGGGGATTTAAAATAACAGAATGAACGCCCGCTCTACAGTTCCAATACTAACACTGTGACATCAAGTGCCTTTTACTTTTAGGCTGAGAAAAAACTTTTCCTTTCATACTTTTTGTTTTATAACCATTAGTGATATTTGGAAATAAAGATATAAAAATCCAAAAGAACTGATGGGTGTGGAAATAACTATCCATGGAAAGCAGAAAGTCTAAAGATAGACTGGACACATGGAAGGTATCACGCTGAAAAGCTCAGAAAACTTGTCTGAAGTTATTCTGTCAATCAGCAGGATTTTTTGAGACAAAAAGGGAAACAAAATCAACATTAATTTAGTGAGTGTTTTCTTGGCTTGCATAGTGGCTATTTTTAGTTCTCTAGTACTGACACAAGGACTATACGTGAGCCAGCTACTCCTCCTACAGGTCAGCCGACTGCTATCCTGGGCATGCAGAAAGCAATCTTGGTGTCTCAGAAGGCTGCGACTTTTTCGTCAATGTCCCTGCAATATTATAGGCAGCACAGTATTGCTGAAGAGAAAAGAGCATTATCATTCTGCTGTCCATTTCAAAAGATATTAAGCTGTGATCTCAACTGTTGCATGCATTACAGAGCCTATAGTACATTTTATAAGGGTTGGTTCTTTAACCTGAAGGCTTTGGCCAAATTCCACCTCAGTTACTGTCCACCTGAAAATTCTCATTAAATTAAATTGACCCTTCTAATCCCTTGCACTGGTGTGTAGCAGTAGCCTGAACAGCTAAGAACTTCCTAGCTTTCATCTTACAAGTGGTTCACTCAGGGCTAGGTTAAGAATACTAATACACTTAACCTGCATAGGATAACTTGCTGCAGCGAGTATTTGTAGAATGCTTCAACATACACTTACCCCAGAAATATCGAAGTGAGAGGCACACTTTCATAGCAGGGCACACTGTATACAGAAAAGAAACCAGGTAAGATTATGTCCCATAATTTGCTGAGGAATCCACCGACAGATAGTGTAAGCTGTTGCAAGTGAAGGCTGAGGATCTGAGTACAGACCTTTAAAGCACTAACTTTTTTATTAAAAAACGCTCTACACAAGCCACAACATTTCTGCTTTTCATACAAGCGAGAAATGTTTGTCATCTAGTTGTTATACGGACTATAAATTCATGGGATCATGTTACAGCTTTTGTTCTTTTGCTTGCAACACTTACTGGGGACATTTAATTTGGATTGCCCAGAATGACAGTGAACAGCTAAAGTGTATTCAGTACTTCAGGCTTTTGATAGAATAGATCTTATGCAGCACGTCTACCCTTCAAGAAAGCTTTCAGTGAGACATTATGCATAATTAGGCAGGGTGGAATAAGCACTAAGAACAATTCCTTAAAATATTTCTGGCAGCGAAGTGCTTGTCTTTCTTGATCGCCCCGTTCTGTAGAAAAGCTGAGAAGTGGGGAAACAAACCCGGGAGGTGTTGTGGCTTGGGCCCCAGCATCCTTGGATCTCACGGGTTGTCTAGATACGCCTGCCTTCCAAATACCTTCAGCAGCCACTGTCTCCTTTGGCTTCCTAGCGGCACGGGTGCTGCCACCCTCCCCTCGTGGGGCTCTCCCTGGGGCCCAAGCAGAGCCGGGGACAATCCTGTGGCAGCGACTCCTGTGTGAGATGAGACCTCCGCACGGCAAGCCAGGTCCTCGCAGTGATCTGGGGGAAGAAGAGGGATAGATTCCTCAGAGGCAATAGTGAAATACATCCACGCTAATAAAAGCCTTTTCAGGTTTTGGCTTCAGAATAATATTTAGCTGACCAAAGTGAGGATTGCCGCGTAGCTTGTTGATAATGAGAGTCTCAGTCACCAAAGGGCTGAACAACTGAAGTATGGAACTTACTTATTTAACATATTTAAGCATAAATAAATCAACATGTTTCGGAATAAAATGGCTCATGCAGCAATTTCTGTATAGCAGTGCCGTAGAGACAGTATTTATACTATCTTCCAACAGATGTTTATCACTTTCACAGATTAATTTTATGCTACGACAGGACATTCAGTGCCTAGACACTTCAGTGACATTGAAGCAAAAGGGAATTGTGGCAAGGAGAACAAAGGCCACGTAAATTCGCCAGGTCTACAAAGGCAGCGGGGCAGCAGGGAATTAAAGGGTAGTCCGAAGGCCCATGCTTGGACAAACACCTACCTCGTCCTCGTCTCGTGTGCTTTTATCAGAGGGCTTGTGCACAACTCTGAAGCAGCCCAATTGCTGTTTCCTAGTCGGTGCCACTACGCTACAGCAGGTACTGCAACATATGCTGCCTCTGTTGAGGACAAGCAGTTTGCATTTGCTGACAAGGCTTCCTTGAAGTCCCGTGACAACCCATGTGCTTGAAAACAGGCAGATAAATCAACAGATAAATAAACAAGGAGATAAGTAAATTCCAAGATTAATCCCGAGGACCAGCGCGGCTGCACGTGTAAGTGCTGGTGCCGAGAGAACGGTCACTGCTGCTCAGGCTCACACCCAAGCCATGTTTGCATGACCTTTTGCTTAGCTGATTGCTTTGGAGCTTCATTAAACGGCTGACTAAATACTTTTTTTATATATAAATATGAATGATCTCTGCCTTCTATATCTCCCTGATTTCCTAAGAATGCCAGACGTTTCCCAGTAAAGGCATTCATTAGCAGAGGCTTGTGTGAGTGGTATTTTAGTGCATTCATCCTTTAGGTCTCAGCATAGGCAGATGAGGACCATGTAATATCATGGAAAATGTCTACTCAACTGTAATTAACAAATGAGGTACAAATTTTGTCTAATTTGGCATATTTGAGCCTGCTCCCTTTCTAAACTGTTGCACCACAGCGACAGAACTGCTGTGGCAGAGCCCAGCAATTTCAGCTTCAACTGCTGCTGGATCTTAGTCTTTTCCACTCTTATGCAATACAGCTGTTGAGCAGAGCGGGCACGTTATTCTGCATTTCCATTTAATCTTTAATTGTAAACAGTGTGTGGGGGCGTGCAGGGATTGAACTCTCTTCATCACAGCTTTTGGAAGTTTGAGGAAGGAATTTCTCAAACACGAATTGAAAGGTAGTTTGAACTATTCCCATTTCACACCAGCAAAGCTAAAAGCAGAATGTTGCTTTTGCATACTGGGATGAGATAACATGGAAGGCCAGGAGGGGAGATTTCATTCTGCCTCTAAAATATACATATTAGTTCAACATGATCTTACACAATTTGACAAGTGTATTTTCATTATTAATAAGACGAAATGTAGGGCTTCTAATTAAGTGGAAAACAAATCAGTGTAAACTACAGCCAGAGCACACAAACCTATCACATTTTAAATTTAATAATAAATCACTTCTCTAAAGCCCAACTGATTTGTTGCATGTTCTTAGCTGATGGGAATTCTTCATTCGTGCATCCTTTTAAGCTCATTTGCTGCTTTCTGTCCTACTATTCTTAGTGCTGATATAAAGCACTTCTTCCCCCCACCACGAATGCCTGTGTTGAAATGTAGCTATCAAAATGATTAGCAGGTAACAAAAAGCCTTAGCATCACTCTCATTAATTTGGGGAAAGTGGGGTAATTTACAAGTGAAATGAAATGTCTAATATGAAACAGACAGTAAATTAGAACTGCACTGCTGGACTGTAAAAACAAAACACTAGAGAGAAAAAAAGCATGTTACAAATTTCAGCTGGAAAAATGCTAAATAGCCCTTCCCCACAGGAGTTTCTGGAAACAAGTAACTAGTTACTTCAAAGAGATTTTAAATGCTATCTAGTGTGGAATTTGTCACAGGACTGCAACTATTCAGAGAAAATCTTTACCAAGTAAAGGTATATCTGCTTACACATAAGCTTAACTTGACCCTACGCATGTGAAGCAATGACTGTTGCAACTCTGAGCATTACGTGTAGTTCTGCTCGGCCACATCTACGGAACAGAGCGAACAGAGAAACATCCATGAGCGACAGAAAGGTACCACACTCGGAAAACCAAATGTAAATCACAGGGTGCATTAACACGCTTTTCCCTCTGATCTTTGGATACAAAGTGGTTGTAGTTACTTAAAAAAAACTTATGTGGAAAAATTAATACCATATAAAGTGATTTAGTCTGTAATAAAGACTCTTCAATTGCCATCCTTACTCAGCTTCATAAATCCTCACCTCTTTCAATCTTGGCTAACACATATCTGATAGTTCATATGATTTAATAGGTTTCATAGTTAATAGATTTCTTAGCAACCAGGGGAAAAAAATTGTTTCTGTGTTTAAGACAAGGATTTCAAGTGTCTTATGGCATTTTCTAGAGAATATGGGTACAACATAAATCTTTCTCTAGAAATTTCTGAATTACCAAATATATGCCAATCTCCCTATGTAATGGCAAGTTGTTTTCAAGTGTAGAGCCTTTTGAAAACTCCAGCCTAAATGCCAACAAGTACCACATTATCTTGTTTGGAAAAGTCCTCGGTTTTGCACAAATGACTAGGATGGGTCCAGATAGTCAGGAAACACACACTCTTCCTTGCTTTCATTTGAGAAAAGTCACTGTGCTATGCTCCTTTCACGTGTAGAAATGGGAAGAAACAGGAGCAGCTCTTTTTACTAAGTGTTCTTACCTCAGGATAGCAAAGAATGCTGTAGTTGTTCTACTAATTCTTTTTTTTTCATGTACATTAATGTGTATCAAAATGTGTATATACTCTGGCACATCCCAAAGTCGAGATGCATTGAAAGTTCAGAAAGCATCTTTCTAAAATGTATTACAAAAATCATTAGAGGATAGTACAGAAGATCTATGCCATGTTACCATAAAATTATAACTGTTAACTGTTACTTACATAAAGCATTCTTTCACATTTAAATCAAAATCAAATTGTTTCAGCTAACTTATTCCTTAGAAAGTTAAAGCTAGGCATAAACATGCCAGATGAGATATTTTCTGAGAAATATATGCTGAAGAAAGCAGCATGTCAAGCATATGAATAAAGAATCCTACGTGAACCAAAGAAAAAACTGTAAACATTTTCCAAAGCCAAACAGAATTATCACCTGAGCGAGTATTTATTTGCCAGCATACATATCATATTCATCAGTGTTATCACAATGATCGAATTATGATTTTAAAAGTAGAAGATTCACAACATCAACAAAAACTAAGAAATAGAAAGGAATTAGGAAAACTTATGAAACTTGGAAACAGAGGAAGGAGGAGTGTGTTAGGGTCAGAATTGGCCTCTCAAAAATAAAAAGCTTTTTCCTTCTCATTATAATGTACTCTCAACTGCAGTTTCAACTGTTGATCAAGCATTACTGTCTTTTAAAAAGTGACATCTATTTGTTTAACACATAGTGAATTCAAAAGGAAAGCAACAACAACCCATTTAAAGTCCCCCCCCCTCCCTTTTTTCAAATATTTTCCATCGATCAAGTTCAAATGCAGAGAGCTACATTCCAGATGTAGGAAATAGTTTCTGACTTAGCCCGGAGACACCCATTCAGTCTTGAAATTAACAGGCACATCCTTCACCGAACGATCAGCGCAAGCAGAGAGAGCAAACAAAACACAGTTGCAAAGCTTCGAGTACGTAAAATTACTATTTTAATGTTGTGACAGATCCATGGTTTGAAAATATACTACAGCATGTTTCCAACAAATTAACATGGAATTAAAGTTACCTGTGCTGTATTGGTAAATATAACCACAAATAGCTGGTGGCATTTTGCCTCTCCCCAAAATCAGAATTGTAATGAAATACATACGCTGAAAGACCAGCTTTTTCTAGAAAGAGAGCTGACAAGATTAACTAATTTTACACACTGGAAACCCTCAAGATTAACACACACGAGCATAGAATGTTAAAAGTCGTTTTTTTGCTAGTTAATAATAAAGAAAACAAACCAACAAGTATCTGACAATACACAACTGGAGATACTGTACATACAACGTGACGCGTAATTATAAAACCCTCCGGGGATTTACAATTTGACACCCAATGTCCAGATCTGCATATTCGTTGCCAGAACTCCGTTTTCACACTGAAGCGCCATGAAAAGCATGTCTTCATCTGGATTAGGATGACAGTTCCAAACAAAGTCTTAAGAACTTAATAGGCCATGTAAACAGTTTAAAAACAAATCATTCACTCTGATTTTGTTACTGTCAAAATGTGAAACCAATTTTTGAGAATTCTATTTACTTAAAATGTAATAGAAAAAAAAGATGATCAAGGAATTCTGAAAGCAGTGGCAAATTCAGTCACACACATTAGTTAGAGGCTCCAGGTTTCCATACAGAAATTAAAGTATAAAGCTGAAGAGGCTCTAAAAACAATATAAGCAAATCAATGAAAGAAAATAAAATGAACATTGATGTTCCAACTTCAAAGAGGACAGAAATGCTTTTTGCAAATGTTTGGGAGTGGAGTATGGTTGGTACCTGACTGCAATATACTCTTTTTTTTTTCCTGCAATTTTTAACAGACTGATATATAAAAATAATTTTCTGATTTCTGTGCCAAAAAGGACTTTCAAATAAGACCTATTCCCTTTAAAACTTCTTGGTGTCTCAAATATTTAAGGCTATACATGCACTGTATTTTAAGGATTTTCAAGTTGAAACAGTAGTTGAAAATAGTGTTATATTACATAAATTATACAATAAGAAGGATACTAGTAGGAAATGTACCTACAATGCAGCATGAGTCCATTTCTGTAAGACCAGTATACACTAGATAGTATTATATAATATCAGGACTTTAGACAGAGAAAAGCTTGAATATAACTGTGTTATCAAAGTTGTAAACTTCTGACGTGTATAAAATGGGTAAAATAGGCTAATTTGACAGCACTGTTTATTTATATTTGTTTTGTGAGTTTGCTTAAAACACACAAAGAAATACAAATCAAACACTTTGCTACTGACACAATAGTGCACAACCAGTAAGAAAAGAGGTATCTTGAATTCTCAGCTGTGAATCACATTTACAGAAGCCTATTTTCGTATTTGTTCAAAGAGATTCATTATATTATTTCTGTCTTTAAGCAACAGTAAGTCCAAACATTATTTGCCCCAAGAATTAGAAAGAGACGTGGATCTTTGGTTAACACCATGTGACTTGCATCAGACACAGGAATCAATTAAGAATAAACAGTTGTATGAGGAGGTTTCTTGGAAAGGGGCACAAGGAAGGAAGAGGGATTGCCTAAAATAAATAAATAGAAATGCATTATGTTGAACTGAAGGGCCATTTAAATCCTCCTGTCCTAGGAATAATCCTGTTAAGACATCTCTTGAATTGCAGTGACATTGTTTACACGCGATAACATCAGTTTCTCTAAGTATTAGTTTTGTACAAAAAGAAACAAGGCACCGAGTGCATCGGTGGTGTACAGACTGTATAAAAGTATGCCAGAAAATGCTACATACCGTATATTTAATACACTCTTTAAAATGCCATGAATGTGTGCTATCTCTACGCAATATAATGCTTCACAAATCCAATCTTTTATATCGCTATCAAAGAATGAATTAAAATGTGACAGACATTTTAATAATCTTGCTGATAACAGCACAATTCAATATTTGCATGTCAGTTATTAGCTTATAGTCACCAGCAAACAAGTTCAAAATTGCGGGAGGTCCAGGGAACTATAATGTATAACTACAATTTTGGGACAGAGCCAGCAGCCTTTACTCATGACAGATGTCCTGCTAAGGATGGAGAAGAGGCTCCGTTTTACCACTGCTGTTCATGTTCATGGTACCTTTCTGAGAGTCGTCGCAGACGCAGATGGAGCTGCTTATGGGCAAGGTACTACACAGCATGAAAGAAGCGTGGTGAACCCAGGACCTGAGTGAAAGGCAGTAGGGTTCAGGCCCTTAGTTGTTATTTTAGCACTTAGATTGTTTAACAGTGATATAGCGTTGCTCATAGAGCATTTAATATTACATTGTTAAATCACCTGATACAAAAATAGGTAAGAAAGCTCTGTAAGAAAGTATATATACCATATAAGGAGAAACTTCTCCTTAAAAAAACCAAAGAAAGGGAAGAATTGAATAAAAGTTTTCACTAATTACACTTTGTCATGAAAATCACATTATAAACGGTTATCAGAAATGAAACAGTACCAAGCAGTAATGAACCTTGTGGTTTACTGGAAAGGACAGCAAACTAGCTGTATAGTAAGAAAAATTCATTGCTCTACCTTCTGCTTTGTTAATATTCCCTAACACATTCAACTGCTTAGCCATTTTCTTAAATGTTCATAACAAGCCATCTGCAAAATTCACTATCAAACCTTGTTCAAAGCCCAGCTCCTTGATTGCACTATGGCATAGAAATTACCTTACATCACAGAAGCTATGGTAATGCTTCCAGTTAAATCTGTACAACTTATGCTTTAGAAATCAAAAGTTATAAATCAATCCCTTTAAACAGCAGGCATGCAGCAAATATCCACAAGTTTTGGAAAGCACAGCAAAAGAATTACCTCGATACAGTGGGCAAGACTCCTGTCCTCAGGAATTAGAGAAAAAAGGATGACATTAATTACATCCCTGAATGTCCATGAGGTTTTCCTTCATAGTATTATATTAATGCTTCTGCTCTCCTGAGTGGGATTCTCAGAGACAGCCATGTCCTCCCGAGCAGGATTCTCAAGAGAGAAACATGTCTTAGGGGCTTTAGACCAACTGTGCCAGTAGGTGCTTCCAAGACAGTAAACCAAACCAACCCGTAGTGCCGCTGGCTCGTCCTGCTCGCTATTAGGTTAGCCTTGCCTGTCTCCTGGGCATAGCTAGTTCCTGGTTTCCATTGCTAAAGCAGCAGCACTTTCCCAACTCCTGGCATGTTCAGCTTGTAAGGACTTTATTCTACATTGTACCAGCAAATGTAGCAAAACCAGCAAAAGCCTGTCCATCAGAACTGAGCCAGCATATGTCAGACCACGTTATTCAGTTGCACCATGTTGTATCTGGACTAAACCTGTTAACACCAATATAACTGTGCCATATTTAGAGAGATATGAAGTTTGGAGCACAAGCTTTCTGCAACCTGAGGAAAGGAAGAAAGGAGGAAATCCTACTTGAACTTGTGGAGGAACAGTAATAAATTCTTAAGGCTATATTGATCTGTACCATTGTAGGCCAGTGGGCATCCATCCTGAACACTATTCACCTTTCTTGTATCTGTAAAATGTATTAGATAGCATAAAGTGCTTATGCAAATCTTTGAATACATGCGGTTTCCACAGCTGTTTCTCTGAAAAGGCTTTCCAAAGACCACGAGGCTCCACGAGTGGAATCTGCATCACTGTAGATAGCACAGTAACAATCCATCACTTATTTTAATGCTGTCATTCTCAAATGATATCATTTCATCAGGTGTTGATCACTGACAAGCAAATTCTCCTTCTTCTACCTTAAAAACCACCAACAAAATAGTCCAAAATCCAGCTTTGGTGTACTACAAAACCTGGCAGTTTAATTAAGTAGCCCCAAAATAAAGAACACTCCTAGTTGACATGTTCCAACAGTGAACAGTAAAGAGAAACAAAAAGAAGAGATAATAATTAAGCACTTGAATTTGTAACAGTCTCCTGATATTTGCTTTTTATCTCCGTTCGTAATTGGAATTACATTTGCTTAGGTGGCAGGAGGCAAGCTGTATCAGCTCTCTAATCTGCTGATCCTATTACACTTCCAGGGTCAAGCCGATCCTCCTGTTGATGGCCCCTGAGTTGCTCTCATTAACATTAATGGGAGATATGCATGCCTATTAAAGGGAGAATTAAACGAATGTTTAGCTGCTACTAAAAATCCAGCTTACGGAGGAAGTAAGTCTGCCTTACAGTTCACAAGCATAATATTAATATTAGAGATGAGAGGGCAGTACTCCAGAAAGAGGAATGAATAGGGTAAAGGGCTCTCAGTTAAATCAAAGGGCATCAAAGGGCATCGTGTCAGTTAAATCAAAGGGTTGTTAGTTTCAAATCAGAACAACTAAGGCCAAAAGCCTTTCTTTAAAACATAATTGCCTGACTTTGTCACAAACTTTCTCACAGAATTATGTTGTGTGATCTTTATTCAATTCATACATTAAAATGTCTTCAAAAAAAAATGGAAAAAAGTTTTTCTCTCCTCATCACATTAAACCTCCAATGCCTTGCATTTTGGAAACCATCAGGAGTTGCACCAGTACCTTATTGCAGAAGGTGCAGAGTGCCCCTGACTTCCAATGTCAAGTGCCTTCCATGAGTTTCTCAGGATGTTGTAGAGTTCATAGAAGAAAGTCATTGGCAAAAAAGGAGAGAAAAATCAGTGACATAAATACAGATTTTAGGCCAACAACAAAGGCATATTTGATCCAAAGATGTGGAAAATAGGAAGGTACTGAGGCTGGCCATCAGGAATAGGTTTACAGGTGAAAACATTCTCTGTAGCAGATACTGCAAAGTCTGTTTTCAGCTTGAGCATCTCTAAACTGATAAACAGACTCTTCAGCTGCAGTAACAGCACACACACAAACTCCCAGAGATCACCATATTTTGAAATCTTGTTGTTATCAATGAGGTTGAAGGATTTTCATTAGACTAGGAATTTACGTCATACTTCCCACGCAGCGGGATCTCACGCGGCTGCACCGCGCTTCACGTTCGCCTGCTGGACCACGGTCTCGCCGTTACCACAGAGCAAAAATGGAACCCACCACTTTTTCTATTATTCTCTAAGAGGTACCTTTGAGAAGAGCAATGTGCAGCGTTCTAGACTTTAATCCAAATAGATCATATGCAGAAAGGATGAAATATTTTCAAGTAAAGAATCTGTAAGAACTTGATTGTTCTACAATAATTTAAGGCTATGTTATCAGGCAGGAAACAGATTCAAGAATTATAGCCTTTACATGGTACCTTGGCACGCAGAGAAGCAGTTAAATAATCTGCTAAGATCTTCCAAGTAATAATTGTACTTTTGAATGAAAGTAAGTAACAAAAAATATAAAAAAGCAGCACTGTCCATTCTGAGGAAAACAAATGCCTCGAGCCATCTCCATTATTTGTCTTGTATGAAGCCTGCTCCATGCTTGACACTTAACTGAGTACATAACCTTCCCCACTAAACTTCTATGCATGAACCATGATGCTGGGTTTAACAAGACTTTATCTAAAGGCAGATTTAAAATAGAGAGTAGTTTTGCATAAAGCAACAAGTAAAACAAAATGGCTGCCATGTTGTAAATAATTCATAAAAATCCTATAGCAAATTCCAATAACTAGTGTGACTGTTTTTGCATGGGAAACCCTTATTTTACTGCCTAAAATTATACATTCATTTCCATCCTTCATACATTCATTTCTACTTTTGTACAGTACAAATCCATATAAGCCATACTATTTTTTGTAAAGCACAAATTGAATCTAGATACCTCAGGAAAAGACACGTGATATAGAAATCTGCCAAATACATCCCAAATACAAAAGGCTGTTATAAATCTGCTGTGTCTAAGTTAAGATACCCCTGTCTTATGTGAATGATTAGCACGTAAAACTGAAGCATTGCACCCTACGAACTGAAATCCAAGTCATGACACTGTTAAGTTGAGCATGGATTCTGTCACAAGTTACCTGCTGCGCCTTCCAAATTGACTTGATTGGAAAATTAACCCTCCACTTGAAACAGTTTGCTCAGGACTTGTTAAATACTGCACACTGTTTTATAAAGAAAAACTATATGAGTCAGCTATTAACACACAACTTTCAGTTTTACTAAGTAGCATCCCAACAGCCACAAAGAAAATGAGTAAAAGTCCTTCTGTATCTGTTGGAGATCTGCCTTTAATGGCAGTTTAGGCTCAGGCATTTGACTCATGCTTATAAAATTAATATTGATTTTTATTAAATTCTACACTTCACATTTCATTTCACAACCTGGCTAGCAAAAAGGACTGAAATTCACAGCTTATATTAGTGTAAGACAATTTCTGCTTAAAGAAAGTTAGAATCATATCTATTCAGTAGATAAGGCTTCTGCAAATGAAGCAATAGTACAATATCAAAAAACAAGCCATATAATAAGGTGTTTTAAATCTAAATCAATTGATCTAAATCAAATCTAAATATTGATCTAAATCAATAAAAACTGAAAACCTGGTTCTCCAAATAAACCCTCCAAAAGGCACCAAATAAACTAGGAAGTGGAATTATAATATCTTTTAAAAATGATCTTGTGAAGTTGTTAGTAATGTGAGAATTGGAGTATCATATTAAATACCTTTACTATAATAAACTCACTGTCTGCAGTCTCACTGTACTTGCCCGTATACCCTAAAGCCAGGACTGTTGAAAGGTATTATAAAGAAATTCAAGAGAAAAACATTTGTCCTAATGAGAATACTCGAGAGTACCACTAATTCACACACACACGCACACACAAAGTAAGAAAATAAATTAAAAAAAAATCAAAATTACACTCTTCTACTCAGAAGCGCTGCAATAGCCACTGAATTCTCATATTAGTAAGACATCATTATTTATAAGAAATATAGATTTGCTTACTTTCCATACAGCAACAATTAAATGAAACTTATAACTACATGAAATGAATTGGGAAGCCTTTTAAAAAGCATTTACCTGATAATCCACAACTCCAGTAACCTGAACAGGACCTGGCAGTCAGCAAGGTAAGTGTGCCAATAGTCAAAGTGCTAGGGCCAAAGGGGGACCTCAGAAGCACAGCTGCTTTGCTCACGTTGGCAGAAGCTGTGGGGTTTCTGAAGGCAAACCTCCTCGTGATAATGTGGCTTCCTTTGCAGCTGTGTCGTCCAGGCAAAGCTGCAGCTCCCAACCTGAACGTGGGCAAAGCAAATTGCTTTTTGGGTGTGAGCGTTCATTCAACTGTTGGCAAGTTACTGGGAAAAAAAAATTACTTGCTGATGTTCTCTTCTCTGAGAAGAAAGGTTCTAACTCCTGGTCTTCCCTCTGCTTCCACTAAACACCATACAGCAATCCCTAAAATAGTTCCTAAGTGGCTCAAGGGGATGGCCACTTCAACCAAAGTTGTTTATTCTGAGTAGCTCAGCAGCTGCCACTTCTTCACAGTCTTTTGACCTACCTCCTGACATTCTAGAGAAACTCATATCAATTCATTTAATGAAAAGACATCTTAGTAAAGTCGTCCTCTGTGACTTCCTACATTGGAATACATGAATACAGGAAGTGCTTTCAACAGAAAGTTACACAGTTTTACAGTACAACCTGTCTAAGGAGATTTGGAAGGGACCAGACTAATGATCTGGTCTCTTTGGATTAGGCAGAAGTACAGGCAGGAGGGAAAAACCCAGTTTACGCCATATACAGAGCTCATTCCTGTCACAGATTGAAAAAAC